CGATGCCCACACCCCACTTCCAGGCTGAGTGCTAATGGTGGCACTGCTGGGCTGAGGCACACGGGGGTGTCCCCCCTCCCTGCCATCCCCAGAGCATCTACACTGAGCTTGAGCATCTCTTCTGGTATGACAGCAGTTGTCCTTGGAAATGCTGCCCTGTTGGATCCAAATGACCAGCACAAGCCATGAAAGGCTGCCAGATCCTCCTCTGAAGTTTCTGATGCTTGGAGATCACCTAATGCTGGTGATTCCCTAATCTTGGAGATCACCTAATGCTGGAGATTCCCTAATTTTAGAGATCATCCAGTGCTTGGAGACCAGCTCTGGTGGATGTTTGGCCTTTGCTTATTTGAGACAATAAGAAGAAGATGTCACTTGGGAGCTGAAAGGAGGGCCTACGATTCGTGTACACATATAGGTAACTCTGCCCATTTCTCTGTGACTCCTGTAGGTCTCGGGCAGACGTCCTTCTCTCTTTTGCCAGTTTGCTCATCACAAGTGGTTTTATGTGCAGCCTTGCAAGTCACTGGCAGGAAAAGCCTCCACAAAAACCTCTTTAATTGACCCAGCATCTGGGACCATGGTTTGCACCAATCCTCCCACAAAGATCAATTGATTTGTTCATTTTTAAATTAAGGGGGTTTTTTCCAAACATTTTAAAAAAATCATAGATTTCAGTCCAGTTGTAGTTTAAGGAGGGATTTAGAGGGAATTGACTGCAAGAAGATTTAATTACAACCAACATGTCTAGTGAATGGATGAGAAAATTGTTTGAGAGACAGTCTGAGAAGCTCATGGATTTAGTGGGAATTGACTGCAAGAAGATTTAATTCCTGGGTGTACAACCAACATGTCTAGTGAATGGATGAGAAAATTGTTTGAGAGACAGTCTGAGAAGCTCATGCCCATAAGTATATTTTATTTAAACTCTCCAAAGGGTCTTTTCTGATCCCACTGCTGAAAGCACACTAGTTCACTCTTCCAGCTGCTGCCTGATCTTTCTAGCCATCTAGAGAAGCCAATGACTGCAGATTAGGGTTTTCTGCACTCTTTCAGTTATACAGAAGAGCGAAACCCTTGATGTTACCATCAGCCTACTGACCAACTACCTATTTTTGCTCAGAAATAAGTGTTTTGCTTATTCTGGTCATTAGCCAAAGTGGGCTTTGTGTCTCACGTGGTGTGACGCATTGCTGCCAGTTCTGCTCTTTCTTTGCCCTGTATTTTGTACCACACCTCCTGCTTTACTAACTTTTTCCTCCTGAACCACAAGTGCTGTGCCCACCTATGAAGTATTTTGTGATGCTACAGTCACCATCAGCTTAAAGTAAATGCAAGAGTCTCAGTATTGTGTTGACATCAAAGCCTGACCTTCTTCTAACGCTAAGATACTTAATTTTTTACTGCTGAATTTTCAGAGGAAAAGTAAGGCACAGGTCTAAGGTGGCTGCCAGATGCACACAAAAAGCATAGGCTGAAAAGTAAACATGAAAGAAAATAAAGGAAGATCATATCAAGTCATTTCCCAAATTGTTTGTCTTTGGGAATCCATAAAAGATGAGGTTATACTGTTCAACCTACACGTATTTTGAAGTTAGCCTGAATATGGAACCATACCTTCTCGGTCAGATGCTCCAGAGCATCAGCAGAAGCTCAGAGGAAACAATGGTTGCCTGCAAGGAGCATCTGCCTGGGTGAACCTTCTTGAAGCAGTGTTTCCTCTGAGATCCTCCAGGCACTTCAACTGCCTGCTGAGATCAGTAGAGGAGTATTTTTCATTATTTAAAAGTGGCAGGAAAACACACGTACTCATGTTGTCCCATTTGGCTACAACCTCCCCTACTGCACTGCTTTGGTACCCAAAGCACTGTCCCAGAAGAGGCCCAACCTGAACTAAGCTTCCCCCTGCCCCGTGTGCTGATGTGTCTGCCAACCAGACAAAGGCAATGAAGCTTAGAGAAGTGAATCATTTATGGAAAAGAGCGGCAGTTTGATGCAGACGTGACAAGACTCTGCCACTTCATCAATACTGCACAAGTGCCCAGGTACTTCCCACCCGGATCAATTCCTTCAGACACCAGCTCTGTTTACCTTGTAGTTTCCTAACTTTTCCCACAAAGTAGGCAAACTTATGAAATAACTTAATTTGTGTAATATATTTAATGATCAAGCGTGACATTGGATTCTGGTTCTGCCTGTGCTAGTTTTACACTCTCTGCATAATCTCCTACCTTCTAGTTTTAAGAAGCTGGTGAGCTTTACTCCCAAACAAGGCAAACTTACAAAATAACTTAATTTGTGTAATATATTTAATGATCAAGCTTGATGCTGGGTTCTGGTTCTGCCCGTGCCAGTTTTACACTCTCTGCATGGCATTCTTCTCCCCTGTAAGAAGCAAAAGAGCTGCTCAGTCTTTACAATGTTGAGGATGTCAGATTAAAATGATCTCCCAGTGTTTTGTTTTTTTTTAATTCTGCATCTTGAAAAAAACTTGTGCTAGATCAGAAACCATCCAACCAAAGGAAAAACAGAACCAGATGCAAATTTCAGCTCCAAATATTTTTTTGATGACGTCCCATTTGCTGCTTCATGACACAGAAATGTGGTGTAAGGCATTGCTGCGGGGAGAAATGGGGACTTCTTATTGTGCCTTCCCCCTTTCATCAGGGCATTGTTCACAGTTCTGTACTTTAAATAGTGAGGATATTGTTGAGGATAAACTGGAGGAGGAACTAGAAAGGTGCCCCAGCTGGTCCTTATGGATTTACTCTGGAGTGGACCCCACTTCACCCACCTCCTCTGGTCTCCCCATGAGGCTGCACAGAGGCTCTGAGAGCACAACTCCAGCATCTACAGCCTGGGATTTCCATCCAATGGTCAGATTTCCATAACAACCCAGTAGTTGTAGAAAGCCTCATCTACAAAAAAACTCAACATTTTATGATTTTTCTTTTTTGAAATCTACAACTCCCTGAAATGAGGGTGTAACTAGGGGGGTCAGTCTCTTCTCCCAAGGAACAGGCGAAGGGACAAGAGGAAATGGCCTCAAGTTGTGCCAAGGGAGGTTTCGGGTGAATATTGGGAAAAATTTTTACACTGAAAGGGTTATTAAGCATTGGAACGGGCTGCCCAGAGAAAGGGTTGAGGCACCATCCCTGGAGGAATTTAAAAGCTGGGCAGACACGGTGCTGAGGGACATGGGTCAGTGGTGGCTTTGTCAGTGTTGGGTTGATGGTTGGACTCGATGATCTGAAAAGTCCCTTCCAACCCAGACAATTCTGTGATTCTATGACTACAGGTTCCTCAATAAACACCGTGCATAGCACTATCAATGGGAGTATCTTCTGTGCTAATAGAAGGGCACAAAGTCACTTTTAAACAGATTTTGATTATGTCACCTTGTTTTCCATTTCACTTGCCATAAGGAAGTGAACATTTTTCCTTAAAAGAGCCATTTAGTGACAAGTACAGAAATCTAGATCATATACATGTGAGGGATGTAGCCGAGAATGAAGTGCTTATAAGATTTCTTCCCCAAGCGATTATTTTTTTGAGAAATCCAATAAACAGCAGAAATGTGCCTGTTTCATGTATAATAAACTATTGCCAGCAGTTGAGGTCTGCCAGAACATAACGGACGGGTGTTTGGAGAAGGGAAGCTGATCTTCCCATCTGCCCTCTCCTAATTAAGAGCCTGATTCTGATCCGATGCAAGGGCACATTACGTCGCTGGAGAAGGAAGAGTAGGGGGATGTCCTTGGTTTGGGAGATCCAAGGATTTTTTAAAGGGCTGTTTGAGATCCATGGGCAACCTCTGCAAACCTCCTCGTGTTTTGAAGGGACCCTCTCTCTGCAGAACTGGTTCCAAAAGCCTCGCAGATCCCATAGGATCCACATGTGGGAATTCTGGTGGTCCACGCACCAGAATGCAAGAAAGCTCCAAGAAGATAAATTAAATCCTATATTTAAAGTGAGAACACCCACCCACCCCCCCGACAAACAGAAGCCTGTCATTATAGCCATATTGCACGAAATAATATTGGCTTAGCTACTTCCTCACAGCCCTCTGGTGGGGCTCTCCGTTGCCCTGCTTTTGTCATGGTACCTACAACAGGCCAGGAATTATTTTTTTCCATCCTGTGAGAAATTTTGAAATTAAACCCAAAACTTATTTCATTGAGTTTGCACAAATGTCTGTGTTGAAAACTTTGTGACACCTACAATCTGACAAAAACGCTCTGGTTCAGCTAAAATATTTTTTTAGAAAAAGATTCCTATCAGAGGTTGTTTTCCTGTAAAAAAACCCACCTTTTCATGTAGCATTAAGTTTCTAAATAAAATCCCATTTCTAAGCTGATATATTTAATGTTGAATTTGGATTTTTAGAATTTCACTCCTAGTTGCACCCCTAATTTCTTTTTTTTTTTTTCTTTGTGACACCTACAATCTGACAAAAACGCTCTGGTTCAGCTAAAATATTTTTTTAGAAAAAGATTCCTGTCAGAGGTTGTTTTCCTGTAAAAAAAAACACCTTTTCATGTAGCATTAGGTTTCTAAATAAAATCCCATTTCTAAGCTGATATATTTAATGTTGAATTTGGATTTTTAGAATTTCACTCCCAGTTGCACCCCTAATTTCTTTTTTTTTTTTTTCCGTTCTTTCTTTTTGAGCATTTGCCACCCCACCATTTTTCCATTAAAAAAAGTTTAGTTTGACTACTTGTAATACCATCAGGAACCACGTATCCATGAAGTTGCTTAAATCATACTATATCTCCTACCACCTCACGGAGAGCCATCATTTTCGAGAGTGAGCATCCACAGAAATCAATAGTTAGAAGAGAGGAGCCCTGCTTATGCCTGCAGATTTGCGGCGCGTCTAATAATAGCCTTCTGATGGTTGTGCTGCAGGAACTTGCCTGTCTTTCCCTGACTCCCACCTCTGTCTAACTCGTGTCCCCGTGTCGCGTGGTGTATTCACGGCGCCGTTTCCGTTGCAGGTAGCAGAGAGGCAGCGTTCACCTACGCCATCATTGCTGCTGGAGTGGCACACGCCATCACGGCTGCCTGCACACAGGGCAACCTGAGTGACTGTGGTTGTGACAAAGAAAAACAAGGACAGTACCACAAAGAGGAAGGGTGGAAATGGGGAGGCTGCTCCGCTGACATCAGATACGGAATAGGATTCGCCAAGGTGTTTGTGGATGCCCGGGAGATTAAGCAAAACGCGAGGACGCTCATGAACCTGCACAACAACGAGGCCGGGAGGAAGGTAAGCACCTCTGGTGTCCCCCAGATGTGGCCACCTCTGGCCCAGGCCTGGAGACGGGGTTGGGTCTTGTAGAGGGTATGGAACCACGCCGCGCTTTGGCACTAACGTCATTTTACAGTAGACAAGTAGGCACCTTTGCAAGTTACCCGAGCTTGTTGGACCATCTGTCTGTCAAATATTTGTCTAAATGTTACTCTTTACAGCGGTAAAAGGAAAAAAAAAAAAAAGCAAACAAACATTTTATCTGGAAAGTCAGAGGGTACTTATGCTAAAACGCTTGCCTGCTACTGTGTGGGTGAACGGGGCTCCCGTCAGGTTCAGACATGAACTTCTCACTCATTTGCAAAGGGATCGTTTTCAACCCAACCGTTCAAACCTTGCTCTTTGTGTGGGGACTACCTCCACGGGGAGAAAAACGTCTCGGCAGCCAGACCACGGGCTGACTCGCCGCTGCACCACCACGGGGGTCTGCCTTATCCTTCCGCACAGCCAACCTTCCCCCCTCCACCTTCTTTAGGTCCGCGTAGCCGAAAGCGGCGACGGCGGAACCAGGGAGGGCAGGAACTCATCCCACACGTGTCCGGGGGATCCCGGGCAGCAGCCACCCCAGCATTCCCTACGGGAGCCACCCTTCTGCCCATCCCGCCTTAGGGAACGCGTGTCGACCCTCTGGCTTTCTCCCCTCTCCCTTTCACCGTCCCCGCCGGCCGTGTCAGCACCGATCACACCTTTCGGTGACATAGAAGTGAACGGGAGAAGGATGTTGGGAACAGCAGCTCATTTGTGGATGCTATTTTTATTGGGGTAATTACCCGTAGGCTCTGAGACGTCTCCACTTACGCTGGAGCCAAGCAGATTGTGTTGAAGAAAAGCCATTTCCAGCCCCCCCCCTCCAAAAAAAAAGCCTAGCCTTTCTTTTTATTTAATGCTACTGTGGTAGTTTTATAGGTGAGATTATGGTTTTTACTCTGGCCAGTATCCCCCGTGCCTGTGTCTGGCTGTCTGGTGCAAACTGGGTACTTTAAAAAAAAAAACAGCAAAACTAACACTGGATTCTGAGAGTAACTCAAGGACTAACCATTAATATTTGCTAATCAACTGTTTCCACATCTTTATTACTCAGTTTCTGGTAGCACGAAGGGACGTACTGAAAAGCCTGGTATAACACCAAGGTCCACAGACAAGCACAAGCCACTGGAATAAAAAATAGCAGAGGAGTTTTCACCTTTGAGGGAAGGCTGCTTCCCAGAAAGGTCTGCTTTTATTTTAATAGGTGCTCACAGTAAAATTCCCAGGAACTGGCACACCAGCCTGTAGAGAAATAGATGGAACTGGCTACTGTCTTAGAAAATTATTTCAATTGCCAAGCTCAGAGATATAGACAAAAAAAACCCACCCAGAAACTGCATTTCTTGGATCTGTTATCACCCAGGTAGGGACCTAGGGTAGAGAAGGAGGGATGCCAGTCCTGGAGCTGGCCCTTGGGAAGACCCAAGCGTTCAGCAGCCTCCCCGAGGACACGAGCTCCTCGTGTTTCTCACCTTCGTGTGCACCATTTGCCGTCCTGAAAGCTTGTGCCTGGGAGACCTTTGAGGGAAGGCTGCTTCCCAGAAAGGTCTGCTTTTATTTTAATAGGTGCTCACAGTAAAATTCCCAGGAACTGGCACACCAGCCTGTAGAGGACTGAAACATAGATGGAACTGGCTACTGTCTTAGAAAATTATTTCAATTGCCAAGCTCAGAGATATAGACAAAAAAAACCCACCCAGAAACTGCATTTCTTGGATCTGTTATCACCCAGGTAGGGACCTAGGGTAGAGAAGGAGGGATGCCAGTCCTGGAGCTGGCCCTTGGGAAGACCCAAGCGTTCAGCAGCCTCCCCGAGGACACGAGCTCCTCGTGTTTCTCACCTTCGTGTGCACCATTTGCCGTCCTGAAAGCTTGTGCCTGGGAGATGCAGCTCCGCGCATTGTTATCTGAGAGACCCGTGGTGTGTGCTATCTCTGGCGATCGGCCATTTCTCCAGCAGGCTCAGGAACTGCTCTGATCCAGAGATATTTCTGCGCTTCTTCCTGCATCCCTCACAGAGCAAAATTACTCATCTTTGTTCGAACAAATCTCCGTTTGAAATCTTCAGGGGAAAGAAAGAGTAACATGACTGAGAGGAGGCATGTTACTCCGCCATCCTGTAGAGAGTGAATAAATGATGTTTTTGCTAGAGAGATTCCTTTCAGGTTTTGCTCTTATGTGAAAGATCACAGTATTTAAAGACAATTGGCAGAGGGAGGCCATTATGGGTATTTGGCAAGCAAGCTCTCTCACAACCTAACCCTTTCACAACAAAGACCGTCTTGTTTTGAGGTGGTATTCTCCCTTTTGGAGCAATATGGATCTTATCAGCCTCCACACAATCTATTCTTGGTGGCTTTCCTCTGGGCTACAAATTCTTGTCTAGTTTTACTCACCCATGGCGAGCTTTTTGATGATATTTATGCACCTAGGAGACAGACTGGCACCTACCGGGCTTCCAAAAATAAACTAGGTGTTCAGTTCCGATTGATTTGTTATCTTCACCTGTAGGCACCGCTACGCTGGGCAGAAGTCAGTCCCCTCTACTTCTTTGGTCTTGCAATGCAAAACTGCACTGTGTGATGAGCCCATTCCCTGGGAGCTCATTAATGACCTGTGAAATGGTCCTTCTTTAGGATGACACCAGCTGCAGGTGATTCAGGATCTTTAGGATTCAGGACTTTAGCAAATCATACATGTATTATTATCTAGCTGTCTTCTTAGGAATCACTGGTAACTTCACCTGCTGGGTTTACCAGAGAAACCGAGCCTAGGTAGGACTGCATGGGTATAAACCAACAGAGAACCACCAGGAAAAGCGAGATCCAGGCTTTTTGGAGTTCTCATTTCAAGACTTTCTACCTTCTCATGGTGTTGTTTTACCTAGGCAGAGGTCTATCTGCTTCCTGCAGTGCCAAAACCAGTCTCTCTGAATCTACTGAATCACAGAATCATAGAATCCTTCAGGTTGGAAAAGACCCTTGGGATCATTGAGTCCAACCATCAACTCTACTCTACAAAGTTCTCCCCTACACCATATCCCCCAACACCACATCTAAATGACTCTTAACCATGTCCAGGGATGGCGACTCACCTCCCTCCCTGGGCAGCCTCTTCCAGTCTCTGACCACTCTTTCTGTGAAAAATTCTTTCCTAATGTTCAGTCTAACCCTCCCCTGTTGGAGCTTGAAGCCATTCCCTCTCGTTCTGTCACTAATTACCTGTGATAAGAGACCAGCACCAACCTCTCTACAGTGTTCTTTCAAGTAGTTGGAGAGAGTGATGAGGTCTCCCCTCAGCCTCCTCTTCCTCATACTAAACAGTCCCAGCTCCTTCCACTGCTCTTCATAAGATTGATGCTCCAGGCCCTTCACCACCTTTGTTGCCCTTGAGAATACCTGACACCATCAGAGCAACGGTACAATTATCTGTCAGTTCTTTCTAGAAGAAAATTAAAATTGACTGTGTCAAATGTGGAGGATTTTAGAGGTCATAAAATCATAGAATTCTTTGGGTTGGAAGGGACCTTAAAGATCATCCAGTCCCACCCCCTGCCCTGGGCAGGGACATCTCCCACCAGACAAGGTTGACCAAAGCCCTGTCCAACCTGGCCTTGAACCCCTCCAGGGATGGGGCAGCCACAGCTTCTCTGAGTTCAAAACAGGGGTCTCAAACACCCGATAAAACTGGCCCCAAGCAGCCCGAGAAGCCTCACATCATTTGTTAAACCTACTGGGGAGTGGCTATTTCTGACCTCTAGAAACCAAAGTTTAGGGTGTCTTTCCCCTTTGAGTTAGTATTTCCTGAAATGCTGATTCACTGCCGGAAGAAGCCAACAGGACAGGGAGAACAGGAGGAGAATTCATAACAGCTGGGTCAGAGAAGAGAGATAAAGCTTGAATTAATTTAAAGGTGTAATCCCAAATTTGCCCAGCAAACTTCCATGAGAGGGGTTATTGCAAGACTGAATTGTCTGTTAGCAAATTTGTCTTCTCAAGTACAAAGTTAATTAAATTACTGTAAGTAACACAATAACGTATGTCTGAGACATACTTATGCTCCAGGAAATAAAAACATTATTCTCCGAGTTTCTCTGCTAAAAAAAATAGCAAAGTAGGTACTGAGAGGTTCTACACATTTTGGCTGTAAACTCTTCATTCTGACAGCACAGCAAGGTACATGACCAGACTGCTCTCTCCTCTCTTTTTCTCTGTGACATTGAAATTCCACGAATGGCATCTTGCATCAGCGTTACATCATATTAAGTATAATGCAATATTATGAGTCATTGTTATAAATCACAGGCACAGGCTGCATTAGAAGGCTTTTGCAATTCAAGAGCACATCAAGGTGGATTTCTCTTCGGCGTTTCTCTCTCCGGAGGCATTCCTGGGTGCACTAGCTTTGTGGTGTCTCTTCATCCCCTGACTGAGCAGCGTTTTGGTTTCCCTCCCGGCTCCGAGGCTGGCCGGAGCAGCGCAGTGCCTGCCCAGCATCAGGGGGGCTGCGAATTCTGAGCACAGCCATGACAAACCAGGAGGTGTTTCTGAAGTGCATCACGCGACCATCACAATAGGCTGAAGTGTTTAGGATTTTATCCTTTAGGGAAAAACTGGAATAAGGTTGAAGTGAAAGACGGGCATTTGGAAAAGCACAGTTTGGGAGTTCTCCCAAGCTGTTCTGCGAAGCCTGCGCTGCTGACACTCACCCCTCTGACCTCAGGAGGAGATGGCTCCCATACAACCTCCCTGAAGCTCTTCCAGTTCTTGCACAGTGGGCAATCCCCACGCTGCTGCAAGGATTTAACTATCCTCTAGAGGAGGCAGCTCTTTCTGCTTCGCTCGAGATACCTTTTACTTTAACTAGCCTATTAGCCTGACTGCGGGCAGCAGCACAGAGCACGAGTTCTTGCAGATGAACCTCTTGGAAGG